TCTCCCTTTACAAAGCCAATCCTCATTGTTTCATTATCTTTGCTCAGCCACTATGGTTCAAACGCGAAATCAAGGCACCGACGATTATCTCTCTCCAGTTAACTACGGATATCATTATCCGTCGTTTCGTCATACTCCCAAATTTCTGATTCATTGTCAATTGTCGGCTCATCACAATTGATGTCAACGTCAATTCTGTCACAAACAATGCCCACTGCTGAAAATTATTCTTTTGATGAGGTAAACAGTGAACCATGATTTATTATTCCAATACTGATGTACTGCCCAATTTTGGTTTTGTAGGAAATTTTAACATAAGTGGTTTAACCAAACATCCTGTCTGCAACAGTGGCATGATCAAGCACTCATCACACGAACAATTCACCAATGAACATGGGAGTATTCTCTACCATTTCTGTTGTACTTTGTGGGCAAAAGATTACATTGAATTTTATCTTGCTTATCTTATGATTTGTTCGATTGTATACGTTGGTTTACTTAGTGATAACTTGGTTGAAATTTTTAGCCTTCGTCGATTATTTTTAGTATGTTATGATTGCTTAAGTTCATGTGATTATTTTGAGCCCGTACATTTTTTATAGTTGAATTGCATGAGTAGAAATTCAAGTTGACTTTATTGTAACATTCTTTGATTTAGTTGATTGAAATTCACCTAACTCGATGCATTAACACACTTTGGTAAGATTTTGAGTCTTGATGAGCATGTTCTTTATTTTTTTTATGCTCTTATTCTTGTTTGAGTGTGTCGAACTAAATATTGAAAATCTAAAACTTGTATTATGATGCATGTATGAGATTACACAAAGGAATTTGATGCTTTGAAATGATTTAGGATTCACCCAATTTTTACCTAAAAAGGTCTACCATTTTCTTCTCCGTTAGATAACCATGTTGAGCCTATATCCTTTTCTTTGCTTTTACCACATCTCTAAAACCCAAACCTTTTAGTTTTTCCCTCTCTTCCACCCTTATCAAAACAAAGAATTGTAATTTATGTGATCTTGTTCCACGAAAAAAACAGAAAAAAATAAGAAAAAAACAGAAGCATTAGGAAAAAGCAGAAACAGTAAAAAATTAAAAAAATCAGAAAAAAATGGTTGTTTGATTACTTTAATGTAAATATTTTGTTGATTCATTTATCTTGCTTTGCTCGTGGACTTGGTTTGATTATTTGAAGAACTCTTTGTCTTAATTATTAACCCTATTTCTAGCCTTCTTTCCCACCTTTACCTAAGCCTCATTGCACCCTTTTTAAGACCCAATGATATTTGCATCTTGTTTCTATTAAGTATCAGAGATTTGATTGTGTTACAAGCTTATGGACATTCATGTTTAGTTTTAACTTTGAGCATATTTGCACCCGAAACACATTGAGTGGATTGAATGAATCTTTGTGAGGAATTGAGTTAGGTTGAATTTTGATTGATGAATGACTGGAAGTTACGATGTTGTTTAACTTGATCCTACATGTGTTTATTCAATTGAATGATGTATTGATTCAAGTAATTATTGTGAATTTGGCTTGCATAATTTACTTTGGTATGAGATGAAGCGGAAAAAGGTAAATTGAGTTTTCACCACTTTGATCAAAGCATGCTTGAGGACAAGCATGAGACAACTGAGGGGAATTTGATGAGCATTTTAAATTGATACTTTTTTACTTGTAGTTTCTCCCCTTTTGTGAATTTATCACTGTTTATTTAGGTTGTGTTTAAGTTATCTTTATGCAATTAATTGTTTTTTAGAATTGGGAGCAAAAGGGCACATTCTTCAATTTTTTATTTTCTGATCACGATTGTAGATATGGGCACGACGTGGGTCTGATGTGACAGATTCTAGAAGGTTAATTAGCACGAGGAAGATTCTGGAAGTGGCCTACTTAGTACGATTTAAGGAGATATTTTAGGAAAATTATTTCTAAGTTTTAATTTTTAAAAACATTTATATTATCTTTGAGATTTAGGATCATATTCCTTGTTATATATAGGACTTAGAAACGTATAAATACCCTCATTAGGGTAAGGCTTAGATATCTTGAATTTTATCTTTGTTACTTTGTTTTCATTTTTTTATAAAAGATTTCTTTTTTCTTTACTTATATTGTTTTTATAAAACTTGCTAAGTATGATTCATATCATGCTTAGCTAATTTTCTTTTTAGTTGAGAGCTAGCAGTGACTCAATTTTACACGTGAGAATTGAAAAGCACTTGAGACCCTTCGGGTTACATTTTCGATTTTCTGTTTAATTAGTTTTGCAATCAACCTTAGTTTCCAAATTAAACAATGTCATTTCAAAAAGTCGACGTTGGTCTAGATGTTTTATTTATAGTTGGAGGAAGGATTGATCTATGATATATTCGACTTCCTGTTAACACACTTAACGGATGTCCGCTAAGGAAAATCAAGATCATATTCGATTATCGATGAGGCAACATAATTCAAGTCGGGTTTTTCCAACACTTAGTATATTTGTTCTAATGATAATAGATGTGGTTAGTCCACTCAAGAATCAACTTTCAAAGAGTGACTTAAGAAGATCGGTTACCAAAGAGAAAGACAAGTTACAATTGGTTGAACCTTGTAGACTATAATCGACATGAATACCGAGTAAAAATCCATTTAAATGATCAAACGAAATTGAAACAAATCTAGCTCGAGGCGATTTTCTCATTATTGTTTTAAATCTATAATTACGTTTTCTTTTATTTTACTTCAATTTTAATTCTTTATTTTCCACTTTATTTACCTACCTTTATCTCTCATTCGCCAACCCTCCTTTTATTTATTTTTGATGCAGCTGCCTAGATTGAAATCAACACGAAATTACAACAAGAATTTCTAAGTCCTCGTGGATTGCCCCTTTTCTCCACTTTACCACTTATTTCTATTTAATTTATTTGAGATGATGATTTTATTTGAAGAGTAAAATAATGCTTGTCAGAGATCATAACTATGATCCCAACGTAGTGATTTTTAGAATTATTGTAACACCACACTCGCAATTTAAAAATATAATTATTTTTAAAGGTTAACTACATGACCGATTATTTATGTTTGTGTTTTGTCAACTTTTCTTCATTGATCTTAAAATACATAATATATGGTCATTTTCATTCTTATTTAACTAAGATGTGATCACCATAAGTTAACAGTCGTTAAATATTTTGGTATAATTACACATTTGGCCTTGATTATTTATATATTCTCTCAATTTAATCATACATTTAATAAATTAAAATAAATTTAATTCTCCAATCGAACGAGTATCATTAAAATATATTTTTAAATTAAAACAAAATAAGATATTTTAAAATAATAATAAAATATATTTAATAAGTTAATATAAATATATTTTAACATAAAATATATATTTTTAAATAAAAATGGATTAAATTATTTTTAAATTAAGTAATAATAAAATATATTTAATAAGTTAATATAGAAAACATTTATTAAATTTAATATATATAAAATATTATGAATTTAAATTAAGTATTTATAAACTAAGATATAAAATATATGTATCATGTTGTCTATTTTAGATCAAGCATTAGTCTTGGCTCAATGATTGAGTACATGTTTGGGTTTCCAAGACACGTGACATCATTCAATTGAAAGATTAAATTTACTTTAATTTATTAAAAGTATAACCAAATTGAGAGAATATATAAATAACATAGATCAAATGTGTGATTATATTAAAATATCATATCACCAAGGTAATGATAGTTAACCAATGGTGATCATATTTTAATTAAATAAAGTGATCATAAATTATTTTTGAAATCAATTATTTTTTAAAAAATAAATTACACCATAACATATGCAACATCTATAACTACAATCTCATTATTACTCCTTACTCTTTATTATAATTACATTTTACTCCTTAATCTATGAATTTTCAATTTCAATTAGGATCTGATCTTTTAATGGTTTAATTTATAACTTCTCTCAAATAATTATTTTACTTTTACTATAATAATTTTTGTGTTGTCACTTTAATAAATAAAAATTATCCTCATTGTAAGTATTTTATCTAAAAATATTGTAAAGATATGTACGATATTTCATCTAAAAATTTAAAGGGTTAACTATATGGATAATACCTTATGTTTGTGTTTTGTCCACTTTTGGTCATTGATTTCAAAAAATATAAGATATGATCAATTTCGATTTTATTTAATTAAGATGTAGTCATTATGGGTTAATTGTTGTTAACAATTAACGGAATATGTGACGTGATAGTTGATATAATCACACATTTGATCCTTGTTATTTACATATTCTCTCAATTTAGTCATACTTTAAAATAAATTTTAATATGAAATATATATTTTTAAAATATTTTTAAATTAAGTTAATAATAAAATATATTTAATAAGTTAATATATATAAAATATTATGAATTTAAATATTTATACACTAAGATACAAAATATACACCATGTTGTCTACTTTAGACCAAGCAATAGTCTTGACTTAATGGTTGGATACATGTTTAGTTTCTTAAGGGAACAAGAGCTGCCCCAATGTGCTTTTCTTTGTTTTCTTTCAACCAAAGGATGACACATGACACTCTTTGATTAGTGAAAATAAATATATTAAATTAAAATAAAGTTAATCCTCTAACCAAATGGTGACACGTGGTATGACATGTGACATCATTCGATTGATGGATTAAACTTATTTTAATTTATTAAAAGTATGACTAAATTAAGAGAATATATAAATAATAAGGACCAAATGTGTGATTATATAAAAATATTTAAATTTTGTTAAAGATATTTAACTCGAAGTGACCATATCTTAATTATATAAAAATGAAAATGACAATATCTTATATTTTTTAAATCAATGACTAAAAGTTAAGAAAAACAATATATGTGATATCTTTGTTGTTAACCCAAATTTTAATTAACACTAAATATCCGCTTTATTGAAGATTAGAAATGCTTTGCAATTTGTGTTGCCGGGATCGATCAAGAGACGCAAAAGGCCAAGAGTGAGTCTCCTGCAGTGAATCCTGGATCCATGAATCCAAGACTCACCTTGTATCCGTGTCCTATGTAAACACATCCCTTGCTAACTGACGCGCCACCATATATGGTGGCCCCTGTGTTATAAGGCCACAAGATTTTTCCGGTGATTGCACTCATTGCATAAATCGGTCCTTGCTTAAACGTCGAACCACCTAATAGAACTCCGTTTGCCACGGTCACAGGGCCACTGACTGTAGCATTGCTAGGATCCGCTGTCGACCAAAGGATGTTGCCATTTTTAGAATCCAATGCTACCCATCCGCCAGCATTAGTGACCTTTTTAGATGGCTTTAAGGTGAAGTTTTTGCGTCCAGAGTTAGCAATGTTGGTGTAGACTCTCCTTTCATCTGTGGCAGCTCCCCATATTCCTCCGCCGGAGAGACCACCGGGTCCGGCTTGCTGCATTCCCATGTACCAGTTAAATTTAAGGATGTAATTAGCATGTTTCAAGGATGTAATAAACATTTCAGATATCTTACTGTGGACCATATAAGGTTGCCATTGTCGCGGTCTAACGCCCAAGCAACTCCACTTTTCTGAACAGCAACAGCAAGGTCTCGCTTAGTTCCATTAACATAAGTGGTTATCATCATTGGTGCTGCTGCAAAATCAGCATCTTGGTTGGGACCAGGAGGACACTTTGGGTTCGACACATTGTTGTTGCATTCGAAAAACCAAACATCATAGCCCCCTAACTGATTGAACCACATGATCTTTCCACTGTCCAAATCAAGAGCTAGAATTGAATCCGAGTGGTTTTCGGGCTCCACACATTCATCATTACTAGGTGCATCTGTCCGATTGTTTAGTCTCTCCTGACAATCTCTTACCCTTTTAGGTGCCGAGTAGAGGTTTCCCGTGGCAATATACACGTGGTTCCGGCGGATATCGATCGACGGGCTGCTTCCCCAAAGGGCGGCTCCGGCATACTCCCCGAGGCGGCCGAAATTGTCAGGCAGCATATAGGTTCGCCACAAGATTTTTCCAGTCCGGGCATTTAGTTTAACAAAACTTCCTCGAAAGAAACAACACTGTTCAATGCCGACAGTCACCTCTAATGAAGATGTGCCAACGTAGAAATGTCTGAATTTGAACATAATGAATTGTCAAAAAAAATTAATAGACGGAACATAAGAAGATGATATGTAAATAGCTGAAAAGACCGACCCCTTGTAATACGTTCCCGACATGGTGATGACTGCTTTGTAGTGTTTATCGAGTTGAGTTAACCAGACAAGTCGCCCATTTGATCGTCGAACTGCGACAACATAAGCTGGTCCACTGAGTCCAATGATAAGCAAATCATCTGCAATCACCGGAGTGGTTCTCGACACTGTTGCATTGGCGTCGACGTTGGATATAACTACTGTTGAATTAAGACCAGTCAGCTGTCGCAGATTTTTCTTCCAAACAAGACTTCCGTCTAATGCTTTCACCGCATAAAGGTATCCATTCCAGCTAGGGAAATAAAGGGTTCCATCAAAAATTGCTGGTGTTGCAGAAATATCTCCACCTGCATAAAATTCCCACTTCAATCGTAGCCTTGAAGCTGTTCTTAGGCTTATTTTGGTTTCAGTGTCCGCAAATCTCCTGTTTAGTATATTTCCTCCGTGGTTCAGCCAGTCCTGCACATCATCATTCTCACCTTTAACATGTTTGATTCTTGATTTAAATTACGGTTGCCCTCGTATTTTCGATTATATTATATTTATTGTACTTATGTACATAAAGGATATTATTACGGTCACAACAGATTATTAGATTTTTTTATTTTACCTTGATAGAATAATAACGGGAATAACAACCCGCTATTAATGGTTACCTGTTAAATTATGATTGTGATGCATTGTTATTTGTCTGATTCTGTTTTAAAATGTTATTTTTTACAATAATAATTCCAGACGGTACTACTATCACTGTATAATAGTTGTATTTGAATCCCTGGATTAATCTACACAAAGAAAAAGGGAGAAAAAACGGAATGGACTCACATTTGAACCATCAGTTGTGGAGGCCAGCAGAGAAAGAAGGCAGAGGGAGAGAAGGAGCTCCATTGAAGTTGAATTATTATGCTAATTTCTTAGAATCATGGACCGTATATATATACTATATATGTATGTAATAATTGCTCATTTCTGTGGCCCTGCAAACAATTATGTCGATTGATTTTGCTTTATTTCATTGAGAAAGTGTTTACATTGATAGAAAAATATTGATTTGTTTTAATAGACAAATTTGACACTACAACTGTAGGGGGAAGTGAAAGTAATATTTTTAAAAATTAGATTATGTCCCCCTTTTGTTTTAAAAATTAGATTAAAAATTTGAATTTTATATCCATATAATTGTCTTGTAGATATATCTTCTAATTATCAAATAAATAAAATTAAAATTAATTTTATAATGAAATTTATTTATTTAATTGATATTTATAAAAAATAACTTAAAAATAATTAAATAAAATTTAATTAAAGATGCAAAAATAAGTGCATATAACCTTTTTCCCTTCAATCAGAACAACAAATTATGCAAGTACGATATTAAATTAAATGAAAAACAACGTGAAACGGAAGTATACGCTATTTTTCATATTAATTATTTATGAATAATTTATTTTTAATTATCAAAGTAAAAGTTTAACATAAAATTTGGGGCATATTAACTTATGGATAATTATTAAAAAACAAATATACTCTAATTCTATTAAATTTATAACATTTTTTTCATAATATAAAAAAATACTAATTAAAATGAATGAATATATTTTGAAGAATGAATTTACGGAGAGGGAGACCGTTATAGAGCGTAGGTCTCGATGAAAAGTGAAATTTTAAGGGCAACACATCCACCTTTGCAGAACGATGGACGATTTGAGTGGCGTTGTGATAATGTTGATGCAGTTGGTGGAATAATGGGAAATGATCTAGCAATTTAGGACCTTGTTAAGTGTTCATGGTTGAGGGTTGTATATGATGTTTCACGCATGCATGAAATTTGCGAAACGTGGAGGTTATAGTGGAGACTTATTGCTTGGAAGTGGTTGAACTGTTCTAATGAAAAGGGATTGCACTGATGGAAGTGGTTTACGCTCTGATTAGAAAGTAAACATTAAGCATATACGATGATTGGATAATGGAGTGGCCGCTTACTTGACATGATTGAGTCAAGAGAGTTCGATTGAGGATAGGATATTTTCGACACCGCCAACTTTTATTGTTGGATTACTATAGATAAATCATGTAATCATAAATTAGTTACTTTTATATATATATATATATATATATATAAAGTGGAGCAAATTTCAATATCCAAGATGACAAATTTGCCCAAAGATAGGAATCTAAGGAACATTAATTGAATCAATTTAATTAAAAGTGCACCATCTAATTGGATATTTAATTATTTGGCACAATACCTAATTCCACAAGTCAATGCGAGTTTTCTTCTAATATTATGATACAAAATGGTGGCCTACGTGCAATAAGTGAGGCAAATTGGGTTAGCTAGGCTTTTGTTTGGTACACCGGGCAGCACTTGTTTTTATTAAAACGGGTAAATTACACTTTTGGTCACTAAATTTTAGAATACTTGCACTTTAGTCATCGAAATAAAAAATCATTAGAATTATTGTCAGCAAAACTTTTATTTTGTTCACTAAGCCATTAAATCATTAACGACAATTGACATGGAACACCCACATAACGTTTTAATAAATTAAAGAGGTATCGGGTTTAGACACTTTGATAAGTTTTTCTTTTCTTAACAAATTATAAATCTAATCATAATAACCTAAAGAGAATGGAAGGGTGTTAGATATAATCTTGAACCTTGGGCAATTTCTCAATTATGATAGCTCAACTCTAGTCTGCTATGAGGCTACATCAGCATAGGGTTGTAAACTGAATTAGTTTTGAATTATTTGTGATTTAGTTTTGCTATTGGTTCTGTGTAAAAGCTTAGGGTTGTTGTATTGAGACATAGTCTTCTAGAATAAACAAATACTTTCGTTCATTCTAATATGTTTTTATTGTTTAAAAATCTTATATTATATTAAACAAAATGCTCCTCCAATTTGGGCATGTAGGAGCAAACAGTCGTCTTTTGCCTGCGGCATTAGTACCAGACAATAGATAACTCATATACACATGACATTGACACAGTTACATTGACACAGTTGTTTGAGAAGTAGAAAATCAAACCCAATTCAAAGAAATCATCAACCAAACTAAAACAGACTATAGTACTTCCTTCCCAAAACATGAAGCTAGAGCGGTCATTGGAGTTCCGCTAACACCACCGCCCTCGACATTTTTCATGGAACGATGCCAACTTACAATCTCCAACACTGCACTTAGTCAACAGTCCAGCTCTATTAGATTGTGTAAACAATACTGAAATCTTAAGAAATCTTCTTGATTCTTTATTGATGAAGACATGGTTTATATACACGTGATAACCAACTACCTAAGCTGGTGTAACAGAACGCTAACAAACTAATTGCCCTATACTTCTACACACACATTAAGCAGATTGCTTCAGCATTCTAGATTCATTCTAGAACATTTACTTCAATATTCCCCCTACTTTTTCTCTTCTCGGCTTCAGCAAACGAATGCACACCAAGCCTTTGTCTAAACTGAACAAAGATATCTTTCGTTAGCGTCTTAGTAAGCCCGTCTGCCACTTGATGTTCTGAAGGTACAAAATTCACTTGAAGCTTTCTGCAGCAACTCGTTCCCTCACGAAGTGTATGTCTAACTCCACGTGCTTTGTTCTAGAGTGGTAAATTGGGTTAGCACTCATTGCAATCGCACTAGTGTTGTCATTACACACTACTGATGCAGCCTGAATTCGAACCTTCATATCACATAGCAAAGCTTCAAGCCAAATGATATCAGATGTGGCATCAGCTAGAATCCTATACTCAGCCTCTGTAGTGGACCTCGAAACTATCTTCCATTTCTTTGAACTCTATTGAACCATGCTACCACCAAGGAAGACACAAGTGTCCGATATGGACCTTCTATCATCAATACTACTTCCCCAATCAGCATCAGCAAAGGCCACAAGTTGGAACGGTTCTTTCCTTGGAAAAAAACCAAGCCATAGTCGAGTGTCCCCTTAAGGTATCTCAGCACATGTTTGACGGCCACCAGGTGTTGTTCGCATGGTGCGTTCATGAACTGTGCTAGCTTATTCACACAATAAGCTATGTTGGCCTTGTATGACAAGCATATAACAATGACCCAACCAAGCTGCAATATTCCTTTGCATTTTCTAATAAACTGCATGCACCATTGCTCGACAGTTTAACCGATGCAACCATAGGAGTTGAAGCTGTTGTGGCCTTGCTCATTCCTGACTTATCTAATAATTCCATTATATACTTATTTTGACTGAGGATGACTGCACCATCGACGCTCTTAACTTCGATTCCAAGAAAGAAATTAAGCATGCCCAAGTCTTTGAGTGAGAACTTCTCTCATAGCAACTTCACAACCCATTCAACATCCTCATTGTTTTTTCCTGTAACAATGATATCATCAACATAGACTAAGACATACGTGCTAATACTATCGTTATGTTTGATTAACAAGGAGTTATCTGTACGAGAGCTTTAAAACCCCAAATCAACAAAAGTTTTTCAGCTTAGAGTACCAATTCCTTGGTGTTTGTCTTAACCCGTTCAACGCTTTCTGTAATTTGCACACCAACCTTATTCCATCTACAGCCTATTGTTCAAAGCCTTGAGGTTGTTCCATGAACACCTCTTCATGTAATTTACTATTTAAAAAGGCATTATTAACATCTACTTGCCTCAGAATCCAGCCATTGTGAGCAGCAATTGTCAACACAACATTTACGGTTGACATTTTTACAATCGGGCTAAATGTTTCTTGAAAATCATGGCCAGGCACTGTGAGAATCCTTTGGCCACGAGTCTGGTTTTATATTTTCGTAATGAACCATCAGTGTTGTGCTTGACTCGAAACAACCACCTGCAGCCTACAACAGACCTTCTTTTGGAAGAGGGACAAGCGACTATGTATCGTTCTTTTGAAGTGCTTCATATTCAACAAGAACAACATCCTTCCACAGCGGATTCTTGAAGGCTTCATGAACATTTTGAGGTTCAACCTCATCTAGGTTGTTGTTATTCTGACAAACAAATCCACCACTGAGAGTTGAGGAGTACAACATAGGTTGTACACTCCATTTTTGTTGCGTGTTATCATGTGGTGACCTGTTACTGGTGGTGGTGTATCATGCCGATCGCTATCGCTTGGATCACTGCTACTCGACCCTTCATCAGCCATATTCGATGAGGAATCACCTGTCTCCCTTGAATTTAGTTGTATAGCCACATTCTCATCTTGTTGCTCGACCTCATTTGCTACATCATTTCTTGAGACCACAGGCTGCCCAACATCTCCAGGTAGGCTCATATTGTTAAAGGAATTAGACCCTGATTCATTAGTACTGACCAAAGGGTTAACATCGTGTGGTTCTCTTCCCATGTAAACACGTTGAGTATCACCAACTATAGGGAGTTTTGTACCACTCCTATGCAACGCACACTTGCATCTAGCCTTGGTGCCTGTCACTGCAAAAGGAAAAAACTCTTCATGAAAAATAACATGGCGTGAAACAAACACTCGACCATTCGATTCCATGCATTGATAGCCTTTGTGCTGAGTGCTATATCCTAAGAACACGCACTGAGAGGATCGATAGTTGAGTTTGTGAGCATTATACGGTCGTAAATGAGGAAAGCAACGACACCCAAGACTCTAAGATAGCTATAATATGGTTTCTTGGAATACAACACCTTGTATGGGGATTTGTCTTGAAGAACACTTGTAAGTAGTCGATTGATAAGATGCACAACAGCACATACAACATAGGACCATAACTTAAACGGTAATGACGCTTGAGCCATGAGAACCAAGGCTGACTCGATTATGTGTCGATGTTTTCGTTCGACTATACCATTTTTTTCGGAGGTATATAGGCATGCTACGCCTAACGTCTTGAGCCAAGTTGAGACTGATCA